ATCCAGAGTGGCTGTTTGAGTTTGCACTCCCGTTAGCAAAGTATGAGTGATCTAATTTCTCTGCATCCTTGTCGGTATTTGATGTTGTCACTGAGTTTTATTCAAAACATTCTGACAGATGTCTAGCAATATCTCATTTTGGTTTAAGTTTGCATTTTCCTAATATTGAATATTATTTCAAGTGCTTCTTTGCCATCTGTAGGTCCTATTCAGTGAAATGTCTCATGTCTGTCTATTTTCTAATGGTTTCTAGTTCCTGTATTGTTGGCTTTTGCAAGTTCATTATCTATTCTAGATACTAGTCTTTGGTTGCATATGGTCTGCAAATACTTCTCCCAGATTTTAACTTGTCTTTTTATCCTCCTTAATAAGGTCTTTTGCACAACAAAGTTTTGTTTTGTAATGAAATCCAATTTATTGATTTTTCCTCAAATGAATCATGCTTTTGATGTCAAATCTAAGAGCTCTTTATCCACCCTTGATCCTGAAGATTTCTCCTGTTTTTCTGAAAATTTTATAGTTTTACATTTTACATCTAACTCTGTGATCTATTTTGAGTCAGTTTTTGTATAAAGTGTAAGACTTAGGTCAAGATTTTTGTGTTTGTTTTTTGTTTTGTCTATGAATGTGCAGTCACTCCATCATCAGGTGTTGAAAAGGCTATTTTTCCTCCACTGAATTATTTTGGACTCTATCTCAAAAATGGTTTGTTACTTTTCATTGCTGAGAAGTACTTCATGGTATAGATATACCATGGTTTGTTTGTCAATTTATCCACATGTATTTTTGCTGCTTGTGCTTTTTGTTTCTGTTATGGGTTGAATTGTGCCTTCCAAAAAAAGATATGTTAAAGTCCTAACTCTCAGTATCTCTGAATGTGACCTTATTTGCCAATAATGTGCCTTTTAAATTTTTCTTTTGAGATTTCCTCTTCAACCCATGGAATAGTTTAAAAGAATGTTGTTTAGTTTCTAAGTGTTTGGAGAGAGCCTGTTTTTCGTTTGTTGATTTCCCGTTTTATTCCTTATGATTAGAGAACATACTCTGTATGATTTAATTTCTTTTCAATTCGTTGAGGTTTGTTTTATAGCCTTGATTATGGCCTCTGTTGGTATAGGTTCTATGGGTCTTTGAATAGAATATTTACTCTGCTTTTGTTAGGTACGCTGTTTTATAAATGCCAATTTGATTCTGTGGGTTGATGGTATTTTTTAATATCCTTGTTGATGTTTTCTCTAATTGTTCTACCAATTACTGAGAGAGGATATTTGAATTCTCTTAACTATAATTGTGGATTTGTCAATTTATTCTTTTGTTCTATCAGTTTTTGTTTCATATATTTTGTAACTCTTTTGTATGTTATATAAACATTAAAAATATTTTCTTCCCAATTTATAATTTCTTCTTGGTGAATTGGCTTTTTTATCATTATATAATGTTGCTTTCTGTCACATAATTTTCTTTACTTTGAGGTACACTTTATCTGATGCTAATATAGTCACTCCTGTTTTCTTTTGATTAATGTTTGCATAATATATCTTTTTTTCATCTTTTATTTCACCTTGCATGTATCATTATATTTAAGGCAAGTTTTTTGTAGATAGCATATAGTTGGCTCATGTTTTTAAATACATTCTGTCAATCTCTGTCTTTTAATTGGTGTATTTAGATAATTTATATTTAATGTAATTGTTGATATGTTAAGGTTTAAATCTGCCATTTAGATTTTTGTTATCTATTTGTTCTCTTTGTTGTTCATTTTTATTTTTCCCTGGCTTCCTGTAGGTTCTTTGAACATTTTTAAAAAATTCATTTTGATTTATCTGTAGTATTTTTTAGCATGTGTCTTTCTAGAGCATTTTTAGTGATGCCAGATATTTTATTATATATACATAACTTATTATAGTCTTCTGCTGTCATTATTTTACCAGTTCAAGTGAAGTGAAAAACTATTAACTATTTATACCCTTTACCCTCTTCCATTTATAATATAATTTTTAAAATATTTTCTCTACATACATTTAGAATCACATCAGAAAGTGTTATAATTTTTGCTTCAACCATAAAACATAATTTAGAAAATTCAAAAGAAAGAAAGTCTATTGTATTTTTTCATATTTTTATTGCCATGTTCTTTTTTCCTTTCCGATGTTTCAAGGTTTCTTCTTTTATCATTTCCTTTCTGTTTAGAGAACTTTCTTTAGACATTTTTTTTGTTCTTGTTTTTGTTTTAGAATAGACCTGATGACAACAAATTCTCTTAGTTTTCCTTCATCTGAGAAAGTTTTTGCTTTCCCCTCATTTCCCCAAGTATATTTTTACTGGGCATAGAATTTTGCATCAACCGTTCTTTGCTTTCAGCACTTGAAAAAAAAATGATGTGCCACTCTCTCCTAGCTTCTATAGTTTCTGATGAAGAATATTTGGTCTTTCAAATTGTTTTCCCCCTAAAGGTAGTGTGTTGTTTCTCTCTCACTGCTTTCAAGATTTTTCTTTGTCTGTGATGTACAGGTTTCTGACTACCATATATCTGGGTGTGGATTTCTTTTTTTCCTGTTTGGGATTTGCCCAGTTTCTTGAATCTGTCTTTTGCCAAATTTGGGGATTTTCAGTCTTATTTGTTTGAGTACATTTTCAGCAACCCACTTACTCCTCTCCTGCTGAACTCCAATGACATAAGTATTAGATCTTTTGTTATAGTCTTACAGCTCCCTGAGGTTCAGTTCATTTTATTCTTCCCCAGTCTCTTAATCAGTTCTATTACTCAGCTTGCCGAACTTCTATTGTTCTCTCTTCCAGCTGACTGATACTTTCCTCTGGCTCTTTTACTCTGCTGTTAAGCCCATCCATTGAGTTTTTTTTTTACTTTGGTTATTACATCTGTCAGTTCTAAAACTTCCACTTGCTTCTTTTTGATACCTTTTATTTCTTTGTTGAAACTTTCTAATTTTTCATCTGATAAGCATGTGCTTAATGACTCTTTTAAGCATGTTTACCGTGTTTGCTTTGAAATCTTTGTCAGATAATCTCCCCACTTTATCATTCCGGGTATTAGCATCTATTGATAGTCCCTTTTTAGTCATTCAAGTTGAGACCTTCCTTGTTCTTGGTGTAACAGGTATTTTTTTAAATAAAAACTTGGACATTTGGGTTATCATTCTGAGATATTGGATTTTATTTAAATCTTCTGTTTTAGCTGCCTTCTTCTGCTATTGTCTTAGCAGGGGGAAAAGTGTAGGTGCCACCTTATTATTGCCAGGTAGGGATGGAACACTTTTCATCCATTTGCATCTATCTATCTATCTATCTATCTATCTATCTATCTATCTATCTATCTATCTATCTATCGAGATATGGTGTCAATATGTCACCCAGGCTGGAGTGCAGTGGCATGATTATGGCTCACCATAGCCTCGACCTAGTGGGCTCAGGCAATCCTTCTGTCTCAGCCTCCTGAGAAGCTGGGACTGCAGGTGTGCATCACCATGCCTGGCTAATTTTTTTTAAGGTGAGGTCTTGCTATATTGCCCAGGCTGATCTTGAACTCCTGGACTCAAGCAGTCCTTCTGCCTCAGCCTTCCAAAGTGTTGGGATTATAAGCATAAGCCACTATGCCTTGCCCCTTTTCCATTTGTAATGGGACAATGGTCTTCTCACATGGTCTCCACTGACACCAAGTGGGTCAATGGGACTCGTTACTACCTGGTGGGAATGAAATTTCCAGCTTCCTCTTTGGACTTTCCTGACACCACCCAACTGCTGGTGGAAGTGGCAGTTGGGACCCTTCATTATAGCCTGGCAAGTGAGAAGGTCAAGGCTTCCCACTCAGCTTTGGCTGGAGTGGGTATGGGTGAGGCTGTAATTTTTTTCTGTGGTGTTTGGAAGGAATAGAGCGGTTGATGTCTGTAAGTTTTCTGACTTGCTAGGTTGTCTCTCTCCTGATGTTTTGGCTAGACGGAGTCAGCCCTCACCAGAAGTCTGTTCAGTGAACAGATGAGTGAATGAGGGGATAGATGGCTGGCTGTTGGATGGATAAACAATAAGCATGGCTCCGAATGTGGAGACAGAAGACCAACCAAGGGGTCCCTCGAGGCTGGGCATTTTCATTCTCTGGGGTTCATTAAATGTTTGCTAGAGGAATGCCATCCTCAACTCCCTGCGGCTCGCTATCCCTGCTTGTGCCACTTGGAATGTCACCACACCTCTGCAGGCAGGCTAGTGGATTCAGTGACCTGCTGTGTGTGAGCAGCTCTTTCAACACTGTGAAGTGCTGCGTCAGCATCAGCCACCGTGAAAGGTGGCAATGACCATCATTTCAAGTTCAAGAGTGGGGGTGGCAGGACAGAACAGGAACAAAGATATCCGTGTGTGCCAGTGACAGTGAGCAGGAGACCTGGCCAGTGTGGAGGAGCAGGACACCTGCCTGGGAGGACACAGCGGGAGACTGGCAGCAGAGGGTTGGGCTTGGGTTCCCAGTGGTTTCTTCTCCCATGGCACTGGCCAGCCATGAGCACTGTCTCCAAGAGTCTTGGCAGCCAGGCCACAGGAATCTCTTCCTAACCACATAAAAGCGACTCAGTCAGGGTCCCTGAAGCAGTTCATCTGATACTGGAGAGATTGCAAGATTTCTCACAGATGGCGCTGTCAATTAAAGGTCTCGCCGCTGCACCCCTACAATCCCAGTCTCCAGCACCCCCTGGGGAAGAGCCATTGAGACTGTGACAGACCTCCCAGCCAAGATCTTTCTAGGGATAATTTGGCCAGGCTAATTACCCCGAGTTCATTAGATAAGACTCCAATTACATGAGCAAGGCTTGCAAGCCCAGCACTTCGGGGGTTTTCAAGTTATTTACCTGGTGTCTGATTTTGCTGGGAGAAAATGATTTCTTGCTCCCAGGCAAACTGAACCCACAAATTAAGGCAGTGGCTCCCTCCTGAGCCCTATAAAGGAGGAGGCCAAGATCACAGGCTGTGAACTGCATCTCAGTTAAGGGTCAGCCTCTCCTCCCAGCTCTCTGGCCTCCCCATCATGAACCGCCAGTTCACCTGCAAGACAGGGGCTGCCACCAAGGGGGGCTTCAGTGGCTGCTCAGCTGTGCTTTCAGGGGGCAGCTCATCCTCCTTCCGGGCAGGGAGCAAAGGGCTCAGCGGGGGCTTCAGCAGTCGGAGCCTCTACAGCCTGGGGGGCACCCGGACCATCTCCCTCAACATGGCTGGTGGCAGCGGGCGGGCAGGAGGCTATGGGCTTGGCCGGAGCCGGGCCAGTGGTTTTGCTGGCAGCATGTTTGGCAGCGTGGCCCTGGGGCCCGCGTGTCCCTCTGTGTGCCCTCCCGGGGGCATCCACCAGGTCACCGTCAACAAGAGCCTCCTGGCGCCCCTCAACGTGGAGCTGGACCCTGAGATCCAGAAGGTGCGCGCCCAGGAGCGGGAGCAGATCAAGGCTCTGAACAACAAGTTTGCCTCCTTCATCGACAAGGTGAGACTTTTTAGAGAAAACTGAGCACAGAGCCCCTTTTCCCCTCCACCTTCACTGTCCTTGGCAGGGAGGTCCCTATCTGACACACTGGAAGACAGCTGTTCTTCCCAGGATGCAGACACAGCCCAGGACAGAGCAGGGAGGAACTGGACAGAGCCTGAGCCTCAGGGTTGAGGGGTGGAGATCAGAGGTCGGAGATGAGTTAGAGAGCTTTTTCTAGGAGGCGTCCAGGAGGCAAAGAACATAGTCTCTGGCTGGAGAAGCAGAGTGACAGCCTGTGAGACTCAGAAGCCAGGGAAAGGAGAGGCTTGTGACAGCAGGGAGTGCAAAAAGCTATGGAACCAACCCCTCCTTTCATGTGTCCACCAGCTCAGGCTCAGTCCATAATACACTCAAGCTATGGGGCCAGGTGCATGGTGGCCATGGTGCACTAAGGCAGCGTTTCTCAAAGGTGGCCCCTGAGGCTGGACATGGTGGCTCACACCTGTAAACCCAGCACTTTGGGAGGCCGAGGCAGGAAGATTGCATGAGCCCAGGAATTCGAGACCAGCCTAAGCAACAAAGCAAGACCCTATCTCTACCAAAAATAGAAAAATTAGCCAGGCTTGGTGGTGTGCATCTATAGTTCCAGCTACGTGGGAGGCTGAGGCAGGAGGATTGCCTGAGCCTAGGCAGTCAAGGCCATGGTGAATCGTGACTGTGCCACTGCACTCCCATCTGGTGATAGAGTGAGACCCTGTCTGAAAAGAAAAAAAAGTGGACCCCGTACCCGCAGCAGCAGCACTTGGACACTTGTAAGAATGTATATTCTCAGGCCCTGCCCCAGAGCAAACTGAATCAGAAACTGAATGAGAATCAAGAGTGTTTTCACAAGCCCTCCAAGGATGCTGGTTCACACTCAAGTTTGGAAGCCACCCAGGAGCACAGTGGTAGGACAATCATGAGAAGTAGAGAGCTTAGGGGAGCAGGAGAAACTCCCTGGGGGTGACAACGAGATAGGTTGGTGAAGCATGTACAGGAGTTTTCCAGATGGAGGTCAGACAAAGGCAATCAGGGAGAGAGAGCATGTGCAGTCTCCTAGGACTTGTCTGGGGAATGGGACGCCTCGGGCTGGGTGAAGGGGGAGGAGGCTGGGAGTGCTGGGTATGTGGTGAGGGCACACTGAGGAATGAGGACTTGGTGCTGTGCATGGTGTCCACCTGGAGGCTTTAAGCAAGGGGGTGATATGACATTTGCAGATGGCACTTGAGCCCTGCTCCGACTGAGGCTATAGAGATTCAGACATGAAAATTACAGGAGGGCTCAAGATCCCATGTCAGCTGAGCACCTGTCCTGGCTGGGCTGGGAGAGGCCATGCACAAGGAAACCATGAGGGGCAGGCCATGGGCCAGGCCATCAGGCCCTGTGCAGAGGGCCCAAGAGTGTGAAGACCAGCACAGGCCAGCTTGCATGTCCAAGGCTGTGCCTTGAAGAGGCAGCCCAGGCTGAATGGCTGTGGGGGGTTGGGATTCGTGCAGAGGAACCAGGAGACCTAGATCCTGACAGACTGAGAGGGAGAAGAAGATGCTGGCCCCCCTGATCTTAGGGGCTGCCCTGGAGTGGGAACCCAAGTCAAGGGCCCCAGGGTGGGGAGAATGGTGGCCATTTAAGGTCTGAGGCTCGCCTTCTGCACTAACAAGGAAACACAACTCCTGTTCGGGAGAGGAAACCTCACATCCTCCATCCCTGTTGCCTGGGCGTCTGTGGCATGGGTTCCAGGTGTCTGAGGGCTTGGTCTGTAGGTGTCTACAGGCTTGTGTTCCAGGTGTCTATGAGTTTGGGTTCTAGGTGTCTGCAAGTTTGGGTTCCAGGTGTCTGCAGGTTTGGGTTTCAGGTGTCTGTGGCATGGATTCCAGGTATCTGCAGGCTTGGATTCTAGGCATCTGTGGGCTTGGGTTCCAGGTATCTGTGGCATGAGTTTCAGGTGTCTGCAGACTTGGGTTACAGGTATCTGTAGGTTCGGGTTCTAGGTATCTGTGGTGTGGGTTCCAGGTGTCTGTAGACTTGGGTTCCAGGTGTCTTTGGTGTGGGTTCCAGGTGTCTGTAGGCTTGGGTTTCAGTGTCTATGGGCTTGGGTTCCAGGTGCGGTTCTTGGAGCAGCAGAACCAGGTGCTGGAGACCAAGTGGAACCTCCTGCAGCAGCTGGAGCTGAACAACTGTAGGAACAGCCTGGAGCCTGTCCTTGACGGCCACATCGCCAACCTGCAGAAGCAACTAGAGGTGCTGTCCGGGGACAGGGTGAGGCTGGACTCAGAGCTGCGCAACGTGCGGGACGTGGTGGAGGACTACAAGAAGAGGTGAGTGGGACACCGTCCTAGGAAGGCCGCCTTCTGGGGCTGGGCTTTCCCGGCAGGCACTGAGACGACTTCCTCTGGCCTTGGGGGACCTGAGCTCATCTACCCAGACAAGACAAGAGCCTTCCGCAGGCAACCAGGTGGGCTAGACAGAGGACAGCCAGCCTCTGGGGCAAGGTTGGGCTGTCATGGCAGGTGGTCCCCTCCTTGACATGCTGCTTCCTGCTCCAAGCTCAAGAGAGCCCACATGTGTACGTCACTGCTTCTCAGTTCCGAAGCTCACCCGGGGTACCCCCGAGTTCCAAGGAAAGCCCCCCCGCAGGGTTGGAGCTGGAGTTCCTGTTGGGTCTTGGACTTTTGGGTCATGCTCCTTCTTCTTGCCTTGAGTGGCGGTTCTGGCTTCCTTGCACACCTGCCTCCGGATTGGGGGTGGGTTGTCAGTGAGGTGTCAGGCCACAGGTGTCAAGAATCATGGCTGAAAGGGGCTCTGGCCTACACCTGTGATTTGATGCCAGGAGGGAGGATAAAGAACCTACTCCCTCCCCAGGCACCAGAGAAAATCAGACCTTAAACCATCCAGTCACCAGGCACAGGCGGGGGTCCCTTCAAACTTGCCCACCGTTCTGGCCAAATTGTCTTAGCGAGACAGATTTGCAAAGATAGAATAATACCTGTTAAGAGACACATACTGTGGGTGTCTCTCTTCTTATTTCACAATGTGAACTAACACACACACGCGTGCGCGCACACACACACACACACACACACACACACACACACACACAAACACACATGCATTCTGCTTGTCCTGCAGGTACGAAGAGGAAATAAACAAGCGCACGACTGCGGAGAATGAATTTGTGATACTTAAGAAGGTGAGGTGGGTGCGTGGCCCTCAGCCCCGCAGCAGTGAGCATTGGGCCAGGACAGAGGGGAGGGACTGAAGGCAGAAGGGCTTGGGGCTGGAGGGCAGAAAGAGGAGGTGCAGGGGACATCTGGGGACACCTAGATGTTGGCTTAGGACCGAGCAGTTTGTCAGGGGACAGGAGCCCAGATACAGATAGCCAGCCCCAGCTCACGGCCACTTTGCCTAGGGAGCAGGGCGTGCTTTGGAGGGGCTGTGGGTTGACCTTCCAACCCTGCTGTCTCTGGCAATTCGCTGTGGCTAGCCTTGGTCTACTCTGACTGCCCAGTGACTGGCTGAGAGGGGGATGGGCTCCCACCCCCTCTCTTTGAGAAATAGAGGCAGGAGGAGTTTCAGAGGCAGGAGGAACTCACAGTGAGTCTGGCAATGAGTTCTCACAGTGAGTCTGGCAATGAGGCCTGACTGAAAAGGGGCATTCTGGCCCCGGGACCCCAAGTCTATCTCGTGGGGCAGCTAGCCTCGGGGCTGGGCATGGGGTGGCAGTTTGGGGAGGTCTGGGCTTGAAGAAAGGCAATGCCAGAGGTGTCTCCGGATTCTCCTCAGGACGTGGATGCAGCTTACATGAACAAGGTGGAGCTGCAGGCCAAGGTGGATGCCCTGGATGGAGATATCAAGTTCTTCAAGTGCCTGCACGAGGGGGTAAGGCTCCCCCACCCCACCTCCAGCTCTGTCTTCTGGAAGGACAATGAGTGAAGAGCAGTTGCTTGCTTATCTGTAACTTTAAGCATGTGGGTGCTGGGAGCTTTGTAGATCATAGGTAGGAATGACAACCTAGCCCAATGCCCTGCATGTCCCTGCCTGACCTCCTAGTGATCCTTAAGGGGTTCCCAACAGCCTTCAGCCCAGTGTATTCTCATTTCTGCCTGTCTTCTCTCTACTGTGTGGGGTATTTCCTGGATCTTGGGCAGAATCCCCAGGCATGGCGGTAGGGAGTCCTTTCTACCTCCTCTGTGAAGGTCTGGCTCACGTGTCCTTAGTGTCCCTCGTGTGGTGGCCAGGCTATTTTCTTCCATCTTCCTCTCTCCTGTCCTGTCTCAGGTGACAGGCTGTTTTCTTCCTGGGCTACTTCAAGTCTCCTCAGCAGTTCTTAGATGTGGTACTGAAACTCTGGTTGGTGAGCCTGTTGTTACAACCTTTGGGGAGTGCAGCTAACATCTGGGGGTGGTCTGGGGCCCTCCCGCTGGGACAGGGCCATCACCTCGGCACCTTCCTCTGGTCACAGAAGTCATGTCCTGCTTCTTTGCTTCCCCCACAGGAGATTGCTCAGATGCAGTCCCACATCAGCGACACATCCGTCATCCTGTCCATGGACAACAACCGGAATCTGGACCTGGACAGCATCATTGCCGAGGTCCGCGCCCAGTACGAGGAGATCGCCCTGAAGAGCAAGGCCGAGGCCGAGGCCCTGTACCAGACCAAGGTGAGGCCCGTGCACCTCCCCGGGATCACGTGTTTGGGGGCCTCTGTCTCAGCCTCTGCTTCTTCTGCCCATGACTCATCATGGCAGCCACAGCTTGCTGGGAGTACTGTACATCCCAGGCACCGGGGGAGGCCCGAAGGGAGAAGACGCAGCTCTGTCCTTGGGGTCCACGTAGACGGCTGACAGCCATGGAGGATGAGCAGAGCAGAGTGCAAATAAACGTGGTGCAAATGGAGCTCAGAGCAGGGAACCAGGACCAGGTGAAGTAGGTCAGAGATAACTTCCTGGAGACAGGGAGGTTGTTTTTTTTTTTTTTTGAGTCGGAGTCTCACTGTTTCATCCAGGCTGGAGTGCAATGGCCTGATCACAGTCACTGCGGCCTTGACCTACTGGGCTCAGGCAATCCTTCTGCCTCAGCCTTCTAAGTAGCTGGGACTACGGGAGTGTGCAGCCAAGCCCAGCTAATTTTTCTTTATTTTTTTATTTTTATTTTTTATTTTTGAGTTGGAGTCTCACTCTGTCGCCCAGACTGGAGTGCAGTGGCCGCTCCCGGCCACCGCAGCCTCAACCTGCTGGGCTCCGGCGATCCTTCCGCCTCAGCCTTCCGAGTAGCCGGAATTACAGGCACGAGCTACCACGCCTGGCTGATTTTTGATTTATTGTAGAGATGAGGTCCTACCAAGTTGCCCATGCGGGTCTCGAACCCGCGGACTCAGGCAATTCACTCACCTCGGCCTCCCAAAGGCACAGGTTTACAGGCTGAGCCACCGGGCCTGGCTAGTTTTTCTTTATTTATTGTAAAGATGAGGTCTCGTCAAGTTGCCCAGGCTTGTCTCGAACCCCTAGGTTCATGCAGTCCTCTCACCTTGGCCTCCCAAAGTGCTGGGATTATAGATGTGAGCCACTGCGCCCTGCCGAGACAGAGAGTTTTGAGGGGAAACATGAGTAGTTAGCATGCCAATCCCCTCATTAATTATAATAAATTAGTGGGTCTCTTCAGTGAGATTTGGTAACTCCTAACTTTTCATTCAAGTCTGGCTCCGAGAATAAAAGGGTCCTGGAGTCCTTAGATCTTAACTCCTTTAGTGGGTGGTGGGTGGGAAGTGATTCTTTAGATAATTTGGTTTCTCAGATCAAGATGGCAACTGCCTAATTGCTCCATGCAGTTTATCAGGCTCTTTCTCAAGGGAATCCACACTCTTGGGAGACTTTATCTTGTTCTGTCCCCACTGTCCCCGCCCTTGCTGGCCTGGGACAGAGATTTAGCCTGCAGGAGGAGTGGAGGAAAGCTTTCAGGGCCTAGGAAACACACAGGCCAGGGCTTTTTGACAAAGGTTCAAATGCCATCCCCTTTCTCTAAAACCTTCTACGTTACTGTTGCAAGTTAGCGTCTGGGCTGTCACAGGCTATTACCCCAACCAACGCTTTCCAAAATAATTAGGCAGGTCTGCACAGATGTGATATTTGGACCATTTGCTGTTTGGGGCTATCTGTATGTCCCTTTCACCAAGCTCTTACTGAGCAGAATTTTATTCATGGAGTCCTAGCATCAATATTATAAGGAATTATTTTAAAATTTAATTTAATTTTATTTTTGAGGCAAAGTCTCACTCTGTTGTCCAGGCTGGAGAGCAGTGGAACGGTCATGGCTCACTGCAGCCTTGACCTCCTGGGCTCAGGTGATCCTCTTGCCTCAACCTCCTAAGCAATTGGGACGTCAGGCATGTGCCACCACACCAGGTTAATTTATTTTTATTTTTATTTTGTAGAGATGAGGTCTCACTATGTTGCCTAGTCTGGTCTCAAACTCCTGGGCTCCGGCAATCCTTCTACTTCGGCCTCCCAAAGTGCTGGGATTGCAGGTGTGAGCCACTGTGCCCGGGGCCTATGAGGGCTTATTTTAACTAGTCTCCTTTTAAACTTGAAGAAGGTGAGACTCAGGGAGTTTGAGTCCCTTGCCAAGGGCATTTAGACAGCAAGTGACAAGCTGATCTGAATCTAGGTGGTTGACTGCAGATTCTACTGTGTTTAGGCAAAAAATCACAAGTGACTCCTGGTGAGAAGCACTTATTCTAAGGGTTTTACATGGGTTGAGAGTTGAACAATGGGAAAATGCTGGCCCATCTGTCTCGAAAGGAGGCTGGCTGCTTGGAGTCACAACCAGTATGTAGGGACAGGTTCTGTACCTATGACCTTGCAGGTAAGGGACAGAAGGCTGCCTGTCCCAGGATTAGCACCAAAAATACAACACAAAGAGTGGAGAGAGAAGCTGCTCCGTCTTCCAGGGACTTGGCATCCTTAGGGACAATCTTGAATCTGGGGCCATATTCGGGCCAAGCACCCAGGGACAGAGACAGAGCAGTGCACCGCCCCCAGAGCGCCAAAGGTCACACCTGTTCTGTGTTCCCTAAAGTCAACATCTGGGTAGAACTGAAGTACCCTCTGTTGACTATTTAATGGATGTCATCAAAGGCAGGAATGATCCTAAACTAGCAGATGACCCCAAGTTCATGGCCAGTCATGTTGAGATATAGCTGAACCCACCCCTGCCATACAGACAAAATGTCGCTCATGCTGAACCCTCTCCATCCCAGCCTAGCAAGACTGCCTGGAGCCTGGACCCCAGCTCAGTTGTCAAGGGGAGGGAACCACAGAAAATACAGATCAACAGCTCATTGGTTCCCTCATTTGGTCATCCATCCATTCATTCGTTAGATCTTTTTTGAGTACCAGTCAGACACTGTGCTAGGTACTGGAAATTCATAAAAGAAAAGATCCCTGCCATTGGTTTATTTTGAATCTGATGGGGAAGACGCAGAAACGTGTGATCACAGTACAGTGTGGGAAGACCCAGGGGCAATGGAAGCAGAATTGCACCCAACCAGCATATCAGGGGAGGCCTCCTGGAGGAAGTGACTCTGTACTGGCTGAGTTGGAGCTAGCTAGGGAAAAAGGGAGGATGGACGTGGAAGGGTTTTCAGGCAAAGCCTCAGAGACATGAGAACATGTGGAACGTTTGGAGGAAGCATGGCACTATTTGGCATGGCTGGGGGGCCGGATAGGTGTTAGGCAGGGACAGTGAGAAATGAGTACCCAGATGCCATACTGGGAGTTTGAATTTAACCTTGGCTTTTGAGGGCTACAGGCGGAGGAGTGTCACAGTTAGAGCTGTGTGTTGTAAGGTTGCAGAGCAGAGTGTGAGTCATTCAACAGATCTTAGGGCCGAGTTAACCACTGACAAGATTTGCTGTGCTTAAGACCAACAATTGCAATGAACCATGGTTGGATTGTGGGGGTTGTTGATGGACCTGGCAAAGCTGGGGACCCCTGCCCACCCCTGACAGGCTGCCCAAGCAAAGGTACAGTCTCTGTGTCCGGCTGAGCTCAGCCAGGCCCCAAGTTGAGGTCCCTGTTTGTCCCCTGTCCCCCCAGTACCAGGAACTGCAGCTGGCGGCCGGCCGGCATGGTGATGACCTGAAACACACCAAGAGCGAGATCTCAGACCTGACCCGTCTCATCCAGAGGCTGCGCTCGGAGATCGAGAGTGTGAAGAAGCAGGTGAGGGGCCAGGACCATCCTGACTCACTCCCAAGGGAGGGGTGAACTGCCTAGCGGCCCCCAGCCCCTCCTCCTTCTCTTGGTCCTCCAGCTCAGAACCCCCTTCCTCAAGTGGAGCCCCTGCTCTCGCCCCCCACACACAGCTCCCATCTGAAGTCTGGAATGACGGCCAGTGGTCTTGCAATAATAAGCCTCCCAGTCCTAGGTTGACAGGACTCGACGGCCATGGGTGTGGTTGGGTCTCTGCTCTAGGAGGTGGGCAGGAGAGAGGAGGGCAGGACACTGAGTATGTTGCGGGCAAGGGGGGTCCAGGGGACCTCAGAACTCAGGGCAAATGTTGCCTCCTGACCTCAGTGCTCCAACCTGGAGATGGCCATTGCCGACGCCGAGCAGCGGGGGGACTGTGCCCTCAAGGACGCCCGGGCCAAGCTGGACGAGCTGGAGGGCGCCCTGCACCAGGCCAAGGAGGAGCTGGCGCGGATGCTGCGTGAGTACCAGGAGCTCACGAGCGTCAAGCTGGCCCTGGACATTGAGATCGCCACCTACCGCAAGCTGCTGGAGGGCGAGGAATGCAGGTGAGTGAGTGGAGGGGTTGGAAGACACTTTGCAAGCCTCTGACTCAGTTTTCCAAAGCATGGCGGGGGGTGGGTTGTTGGGTTTGGGGGACTGGAGATGCTTTTGAGTTCACCCACAAACCTAGCCTTAAACAGCATCCAGACAGATAATTGACAGCAATTTCCTTTACAGTCCTCCTTCCACTCTTTGGAGACAGTCTCAGCTTAGTGCTGCCGTGTCTTTTTTTTTTTTTTTGAGTTGGAGTCTCACTCCATCGCCCAGGCTGGAGTGCAGTGGCACGCTCGCAGTCACCCCAGTGTCGACATGCTGGGCTCTGGTGATCCTTCCACCTCAGCCTTCCAAGTAGCAGGAACTACAGGCACATGCTACCACACCTGGCTAATTTTTTATTTATTGTAGAGACGAGGTCTTGCCAAGTTGCCCAGGCAGGTTTCGAACCCATGGGCTCAGGAAATCCACTTGCCTCGGCCTCCCAAAGTGCTGGGATTACAGGCTGAGCCACCGAGCCCGGCTGCTACCACGTCTTTTTTTTTTTGAGTTGGAGTCTCACTCTGTCGCCCAGACTGGAGTGCAGTGGCCGCTCCCGGCCACCGCAGCCTCGACCTGCTGGGGTCCGGCGATCCTTCCACCTCAGCCTTCCAAGTAGCCGGAATTACAGGCATGCGCTACCACGCCCGGCTGATTTTTTGATTTATTGTAGAGATGAGGTCTCGCTGCCCAGGCGGGTCTCGAACCCGCGGGTTCAGGCAATCCACTCACCTCAGCCTCCCAAAGGCGTGGGATTACAGGCTGAGCCACCAAGCCCGGCTGCTACCACGTCTTTAACGCCTCTCGGAAACTGGCAAATATCCTCTCTTAACAGAGAGACAGTAGGTCCCAGATTCAGAGTCTGTGGACAGACAGTCCTATCTTGCCAAAAACTTTTGAATTACTTTGTTTTCACTATGTTTACTTTTACCGCGACTTCTTCTTATTTGGTTAGGTAATAAAGCTTCACAGGAGTAAATACATGGGTTTAAGAAAATAAGAGGGCCCCTGTGGGTGAGGTGCTGTTGGGGGCTTCGAGGTGGCAGCACCACAACTCTGAAGGAGGAAGAGTAGGTGGGGGAGGGAGAGGAAGGGTAGGGACTCATGGGGGCAGCCAGTGCCCTCTGGTCTGCTGGAGACTGAGCTGGCCAGGCTGGGGACTCCTGGCCTGGGCTCGGGCATGGTAAGGTTGCTCTGGGAGTCCAGGTGACACAGACTCTCCCATGCTTTTCTCCCTGTGCAGGATGTCTGGAGAATACACCAACTCCGTGAGCATTTGTGAGTATTTCTTGCTTCTGAGGGAGTATCCCTAGTCCTTCAGCAAACACAAAGTGGGGGGCGGGGCCTCCACCAGGCCTCCCATGGAACAGCCTGGCTCTGTCTGGTAGACCACACTGTCACATACTCACCTCCTTTGTGGAAGCTCATGGCCTCCCATTCGGAAATGCTTCTTCCCTGGTGGAGTCGGCCCCGCCCCCATCACTTCTGACATTGCACACCAGCCCCTCTCCCAGAAGCCTCTCCCATGCCAGGAAGAAACTCTGAGCCCTGTCCCCTCTTCTGCCACCCCACCCCGGCTCTCCTGCCTGAAGGGAACTGGGAGCACAGAGGCGCACCTTCTCATTGAGGGTAGACACCTGTGCAAAGACACAGGCAAGTCTGATGGATGCTGGTCCCCGGGCCTCCCAAGAGAGAGGCCAGCAGACTCCCTTAACTCAAAACAACCAGGAAATGCTTTCAACAATAATTGGAGTTGCAAGCAGAGAACTTGCTGGCTTATCTGGCCTATCCCTTGAGGGAAACCCTTGCCGGTCCTGTTCATTCAAAGAAAATCAAGGTACCTGATCCTGGAGCCTTGTGGGATCCAGGCTGTTTTTCCCGGTGCTTGAGCTGCTCAAGGGACCCAAGTTCATGATGGATGTGAAGTGTTTGCTTAGAGGGAAGCATTTAAGCTTGTAGGGGCTGGAAGTTTGGAGGGGAACTTAGGGCCACCCCTGCACAGAAACATACACTGATTGCTCCCTCCCTCCCTCCTCCACAGCGGTCATCAACAGCTCCACAGCTGGGATGGCAGGCACAGGGCCTGGTTTTGGGTTCAGCGGTACCAGCACCTACGGCTACTGGCCCAGCTCTGTTGGCGGGGGCTACAGCATGCTGTCTGGGGGCTGTGTCACCGGCAGCGGGAACTGCAGCCCCCGCGGGGAGGCCAAGACCAGGCTGGGGAGTGCAAGCGAGTTCAAAGACTCCCAGGGAAAGCCCTTGGCTCTGAGCTCACCCGCCAAGAAAACCATGAGATAAAGTGCAAGGCAGCCCATTTCCAGCAGGGGCCCTGCTCTGGCTTCCTCTGGACTCTGGGAAATCCTTCTGTCCCACCTGTCATCATCTCTGTCTGGCCTTTCTTTGCCACTGGCCTCTCCTTCATCTCTTCGACCTCTCTGCCTTAGTTTTTCTTAGTGGAGAAACGGGATTTAATGCTGCCGTCACCCTGCCCAGCTTTCTACCTCTGCACTCAGGCTACCTTTTCTTTCCTGGGGAAGACACAACCCCTTCTCTGCCTGCATGTTCCCTTGCAGAGGAAGACCCTCTCTCAAGGGTCACCCCCGTCTCCCTGATGCCCCTTCCACACCCTGGCTTAGGTGGTTATTTGACCGGGTGTTCCCTGGGAACATGAGACCTCAGGTCTACCGACGGACCTGCAAGAACTGACTCCCAGGAGGGCTGCAGCAGCCCAGGCAAGATGCCTGGTGATGGGTTGTGGCTCACGTGGTCACTGCTCACTGGCGCTGCTCGTTGCTGGGAGGATCCCCAGAGGCAGGGCCTGTCCATCGAGGGATTTGTGCTCCAGTCTGAGTCCGTGTTCTTGTGGGCCTCGCCTCTCTGCTCCTGTGTCTCACCAATAAACATGTACAACCCATGCAGGGCCAGACTGCTTTTCTGTCCTAAGGGAATCCAGCTCAGGGCACGGCTCTTCTGCACATGGGTGGTCAATGAATGGGAACTCAGGGTATCCGAGGCCTGGAAGTATCTCTAATCCGAGCAAGAGACCCTGTCAAGCCTGCAAGGTCTCGCTGTCACCTTCCCTGGACTTTTGCTACTCAGGGTTCATCTCTGTCCCCACCCCCAGCAGGTGCACCTTCTTAGTCATGCTTATCTCAGGCCAGCATTCCAGTGAACTGACGGTATCTACAGATATTCTGGTTATCTGCAGAGAGAAAGGAGCCAGGTGGCAAGATTTAAAACTGGTCAAAAGGCAGCAGAACACCAGAGCTAGAAAGACTAAGATTGAGTTATGGCTGTCCCCTGTCCCCTGAGAAAAGGCCCAAAGATAAATTTCTCTTTGAAGTAATGATCCATGTTTTCTTGGTCCTTAGCAAAGTTTCCCCTGAGCTGAGTGTGGATGTGTGTGTGTGTGTGTGTGTGTGTGTGTGTGTATGAATGTATGTGTGTATGTAAATATGGGGCCACCCCTGTTATATCCCTGTTTTAAAACGCTCCTGTGCTCAGAGATTTCTCATGGGTGTCCAGGCCATGATGATGCCAAACAGGAGGCAAACCAGCATGCACCGGGGTTGAGGCTCTCCTGTGGTGTCCCAGCAGGTCCCTGTGGGTCCAGAGGGAGCCCTGGACCTTAGGTCGATCACTTTGAATTCAGGTTTGAACTCTGCAACTCACTGGTGATGAGCAAAGCTCTCAATCCTTTTGGGCCTTATCCTTTAGCTATAAAATGAGAGGACTCGGGCCCCTCAGATTGCCAACAGGCTAAAATGGGACAACTTGAGGATGGCTTGTGTAATTCCAGCACAAAGTGGGTACTTAATAAATGTTTGTGGGAACAAAGCTTGTCCTCCATCTTTTTGCTTTAACACTTGACTTAATTAGCTCACTGAAAGAGGTGTGTAGCTGCTGGCAAGCAGTTCACCAAATCCAGACCTTCAAGAGACTATCTTATACACTATAGCACCAGTTTATTTCCCAAAGGAGAACTGGCTGGCAGAATATCTGGTCTCAGGAATACACTCTTTGGGCCAGTGAAGAAAGCCAGCTCATCGAATACTTATTAAGCATATATCATGTGCCTGCGATGTCTTAGTGCTGGGAATACAGTGACAAAGAAGGCTGGTTCATGTCCCTAATGGAGACATGACCATAAAACATGTGACTGCAATATGGTGAGCTATCAGCAGCAGCAGAAGATACAAAGGCAGCCCAGAGGAGAGTAAGGAACCCTAGGGAGGTCAGGGAAAGCTCCCAGAGGAGGCAGTGTGTGTAGAGGTGTTAGAGGATGGAAAGGAATTTACTAGGTTGGACAAGGGGAGGAGATGGGCTTTGTAGTCAGAGGCACTTGCATGGTGGAGCTAGGGTGTGACTTGCAAGTCTGGAGGAGGCCCAGTGGGTGGAGAAGGGGGACAGTGGCACCTGGAGTCAGGGAGGCAGGCAACGGCCACCTCAGAGCAGCCCCCTCGTGTCTGCTAAGAGCTGGGATTACACCCTGTAGAGCTTGAGGGAGAAGTTAACACCTCCAGTGTCAGGTGAATGCTGAGTCAGGAAGACTCTGCCCCTTACTAACTGTGTGACTTAGGCAAGATGCTTCTGCTCCATAAGCCTCTGTTTCCTCGTCTGTAAAAGGGCATTAATAATAGCAGTTGCCTCATAAAGTTGTCATGAGAATTAAGTTTAATGAACTGATATATGAGAAGTACTTAGTTCAGTGCCTGGCACACAGCAAGTGTGTTACTAAGGATGGACTACCCTTTCACAAATCTTTAGTGAGGTGGCAAACAGAGAAGATCTAATAGTGATCAGGAGATTGCTGAATAAACAGGAACTTCAGTTTAAGAGCACTGGCTATTAAGAGATGTTCCTGCTGCCTAACTCTTATGCTTGGGTTCATACAATGACCACTGACTGCCTCAGTGGACAAACCCTGACATCCGAGTGGCTTAACACAACATAGGTTTATTTCTCACTCACAGTCCCAGGCAGGCTATCCAAGGCAGCTGTCCTACATGGCTCTCCCAATGGGAGTATCAGAGACCTAGACTCTTCTGTCTTGTAGCCCTGCACAAGGCACACATGACCCCCAAGTTCTCCGAGACAGGGAAAAGAGATGAAGGCGGCACACGGGCTGTTACCGACCCACCCAGAAGTGACATGCTTCGGACCATTCACATTTCATGGGCCAATGCTAGTTCCATGACCCTCAAGTCCCAAAAGAACCACAAAGAGTGCTGGGAAACGAGGAGAGCCAGGGTGGTTGGTGAGCTCTAGCCTCCTCAGTGTAGATACCCAATGCCGGTCACCAGGTTCCTTGGCCTGTGCTGGGAGGATGCTGGTCTACACTTTCTAGAGACCATGTAAACAACCTCCCTTTGGTTTTGACAATATAACCCCGGGCATTCTGCCATAAACTAGATCAGCCTCATATTATATCTAGGTCTCTTTCGTGCTTTAAAGGAGCTACTGTTTGGATTTGGGAAATTTAAGTCTCCTTAATGGTGAAGTAGAGATTGTTTGCTTAAAGTAAATTCCTTGAAATCCTGGTTCTCATAAGATATTTGGCCAGGGAGAAGGCTCTAGGGTCTAAAAAAAGGTATGGAAAACCCTGAGTTTTGTGTGTGTTTTTAAAAATAAAAACAGTACTTTATTTTTGATACCTATAGAATCAGCCATCCTTCTCTTTCTTCTCTAGTTTTCTTGAAAAAAAACTTATTTATAAAACATATGTTCATAGTAGAAAATTCAGAAATATTAAAAAGTAGAAAGAAGTTATTTATAATCCCACCTCTTAGGCATGAAGTTTTGTACCATTCCTTGGTACAGCAGAAAGCAATATGCATTTCTTTGTTATGGTGTAATACCATCCATCCATCCATCCATCCATCCATCCATCCATCCATCCTTCCTTCCATCTACCTGCCCACCCATGAATCATCCATCTATTTATGTATTTAATCGACTATTTTTTAGAGCAGTTTTAGACTTACAGCAAAATTGAGTGGAAGGTACTGAGCTATCCCCTTGTACCCCTTGCCCCCCTCCCACATAACTACCCTCCTTACCAACATCCTTCACCAGAATGGCACATTTGTTATAATTGATGAACCTATTATGAACACATCATTATTATCCAAAGTCCACAGTTTACACTAGGGTTCACTCTTGGTGTAGTCTATTCTGTGGGTTTGGACAAATATTTAATGACATGAATCTACCACAGAGCACTAACATGTTAATGGTTTAGAAAGTCCTGAAGTAAGACGTCTACTTAACTTTCTAAAAATCCAGTATGGAATCCATCACCACACTTTCCCCCTCGTGACGCCTATTAATTTTCCAAGGACTAGTGTTACAGGACAAGAGACTCCCTTAACCAGCAGCATGTCTGTGAGTCCCAGCTTAGAGTGGTTTCATCCATCTTTTGTTGCAGAGATCTGGTTTCAAAGGGTGAAGTCCCTGCCTAGGCTACCAATCCAGGGGTTGCTTTAGCCCAAGAACTAATGGCAGAAGTGGTCCTGGGGCCTGGGAAGACACAGCAGGTTGCTGTCAGGGGCAGGAGCCATGAGACCCCTCCTCCCCGCCACAGCCGTATCTCACTGGTTCACACCCGCACACATCGAGGTCTCTGAAATCTGTATGTGTCACTTCTGTCTCTTCAGGATCTATAATAAAGGTGACCCAGGGGATGAGGAATTCCTGATTCATCCAGCCGGTCCACACCTCACAGGGAGATAAGGAAAGGTTACCTCACCTGTTCCCTAACCTTGGGCAAAAGTGTCCTGGTCCCAGGGTGTCTCAGCTCCTTAGAAAGTTTCCAGAAAAAAAAAAAGGTGACTTCAAAGACACCCTTTATAAGCCCATCCTATGTAAGGATTCTCCTCTTTCAATCTGAATAATTTTCTTGCTTTTATATTCTCAGTGGCCAGAGTTACTCAACTCTTCTGCTTGTGAGCAACAAGAACTGGCTAAAATTATGGAGCAGAGGGAAAAATCTCATGAAAAATGAAAAGCATAACCTTGAGCTTCTCGAAGGGCCTGCTGATCACCCAGCCACACTGACATTGCCCCTCCCCTCTCAAGACTGGAATACAGTGGTTCCTTCTTGAGGCTTCTCTGAGTCAGGACTGAGAGCACCCCCTCCTCCCCACGCAGGACACCCAGACACTGCTATCCATTCATCTGTGTCTGGTGCCATCTCTACCACTCACCAATGTCCCCACAACTCTGTAGCCTGTGGGGTAAACACCTTGGCTGTTATTATGCCCTGTCATTGGCCCAGTGGAGACTGTGTCAGCCAATTACCACTGGGTGCCATTTGGCCACCCCATGAGGGCCAGGAAGGCTGCTTCCAGGAGAAGACCCGAAGGCAACCAAACTGGAGAAAAGGAAATTGGGCGAGACTAGAGAAAGAGCCTCTGGAGCTTATGTGGAATGAAGTTTTAGAATCTCGTTCTTTTGTTTGTTTGTTTGTTTTTGAGTCTCACTCTGTCGCCCAGACTGAAGTGCAAGGGCATGCTCTTGGCCACCGCTGCCTCGACCTGCTGGGCTCTGGCGATCCTTCTGCCTCAGCCTTCTGAGTAGCCGGAACTACAGAAGTGCACTACCACGCCCAACTAGTTTTTGATTTATTGTAGAGATGAGGTCTCGCCAAGTTGCCCGGGTGGGTCCTGAACCTGCAGGCTCAGGCAATAGAATCTAGTTCTTAGTTTCAGATCTAGTTTCTCCCGGCCCTTTTGACCTGTCCCTAATAATTGGCCACCTTGTGATGCTAAATTAGAGACACCAGGGTAGCAAAAATCCTCATCAGAGGCTTCTTGGACTGGATAAATGAGCCTCTTTTTCTATTAAGAAAACAAAACCCCAAACAACAGAAAACCTTAAGAAAGATTGGCTTCCACACCACACCTAAAGCCTTCCTGGGTTTCCACCCCAGGTCTTCTTCCCTCCTTCCCAGCTAGTATGTCTCCCCACTCCTGGTCTAGAAATGCTTGCCTGGAGAAATCTTTCAGCTCTCTTCAAAGTCACCCCCTAGTACTTGTGACCAAAGCACTCACTGACCTTAAGTCTGTCCCTGTGCCCTGCCTCTCCCAACTGACTGAGAAGACCCTTCAGATCGGGCCAAAGTCTCCTCCCTCTGGACTTCTTTCTTGCACCCAGGACACAGCTGTTGTCACCCAGAAGAGACAGGCTAAGGATGATTCTGGAGAGGCAGGAAGGGGACAGGCTAAGGATGAGTCTCTGGAATATTCTTTTTTTAGCAATGTGATCTTGCTCTGTTACCCAGACTGGAGGACAATGTCACCTTCTTAACTAACTGCAGCAGCTAACTCCTGGGCTCAAGAGATCCTCCTGTCTCAACCTCCTGAGTAGCTGGGACTACAGGCATGCGCCACCTCGCTTGGCTAAATTTTTAACGTTTTTTGTAGAGACCGGATCTCATTATGTTGCCCAGGCTCTCTGGAATATCCTTGACCCTGTTTATGTCCTTCTGACACAGAACCAGCCTAGACATCTGCTCCCATGCACCTTCCCCCTCCCCCACTTACACCCAGAGGGGCCAGACCTGCTGGAAGTTTCCACCCGAGATCTTGGCAGTGATAACCCCAGTAATGGGAGGGCAGCAAATGGAGATAAAGTAGCCAAATTATTATCATGCAGGAGGTACGCACAGCAAATGCTGGGTTCTGGGCCATTTTACAGGGAGGAAGAGACAAAAATCTCAGAGGGTGGATGGTAATTTCCTACATGAAGAACCCAAGAGGCTCCAAGTGATCTAAAGGGTGTTCCAATATACAAATTAGGCTGAGTGCCGACTATTTAAGGGGTGCACATGCCGGGAGGACAGCTGTCTGCACCCCTCTCCTGCCTTTGGCGCTGCCACTGCCTGTCCCCCGCCCACTATGAGCCGCCAGCTGAACCACTACCCCAGCGGGGAGCGCCTGGGCTTCAGTGGCTGCTCAGCCATCCTCTCTGGCAGGCTCAGTGCCAGCTCCACCTCGTTCAGGGCCACGGCCAAGGGCTCGGCCGCCTTCGGCAGCAGGAGCCTGTTCTGTCTTGGGGGCGGCAGGCGCCTGGCTCTTAGCGCTTCGGCGGGGCGCAGTGGGCGCCTGGGTGGCTTCGTGGGCACTGTCTTTGGCAGTGCTGGGCTGGGGCCCGCATGTCCCTCCGTGTGCCCACCCGGGGGCATCCCGCAGGTCACTGTCAATAAGAGCCTCCTGGCCCCCCTCAACGTGGAGCTGGACCCCGAGATCCAGAAGGTGCGCGCCCAGGAGCGGGAGCAGATCAAGGCTCTGAACAACAAGTTTGCCTCCTTCATTGACAAGGTGGGTCCCCGGGTATCGGCTGTCTCTACATTGGTGCACGCATGGTCTCTGGCTCTGCCTTGGTGAGCTGGTGGCACCCTGGGTGAGCCATGGCCCTTCTGAGCCTCTCTTTCCTCATCTGTGAAATGGGCACATAATGGTTCTTATTCCAGTGGGTTGTGATGAGGATTAGGGATGTTTATCAAGTGCTGAGAACAGTACCTGGTGCACATTTCCAGTAAACGGGAGCTTCCTTCCTTCCTTGGGTGGGACAAGACTTTGGGATGTGAAGGGATGACCCAGGGGCAGAAAACCCAAGGAATGGGCCCTTCGAGGGCTTGCAATATCAGACAAGGAGACGGAGACACACTTCCAGGACAGTGGCACTAGAGGAACACAGGCCAAGGACGTCACAGGACACGGGACTTGGTGAGTGGGAAGGACTTGAAAGGTAGAAAGTGGGGTGAGTGTGTAACTCAGGAAGGTGAGCGAGGAGGCGAGAGAAGAGGGCCAGACAATTGGAGTGAGAGGCCTAGGGAAGAGTTGGAAAGAAGACATGTGTGTGTTGGTGGGGGGTGTCCAGAAATGGGGGTAACAGGGAAATTGTCTCTGGAGATTTTTGAGGCAGTGATCCCAGTGAATGAGAAGGAGACAAGGAAAGGGCTTCTCTTGTCTCCACCTGGGCAGAAGGTCTAGACTCTGGATGACAAAGGGATATCCTATTAACAAGTGCTGACCTCTATGGAGATGTCACTTGGCACCTGCAACAGTCCGGGTGACTTGCATTGATGGACACGCAGCCCCCGATTCTTATGACTGCGCCTTGCAGATGAGGAAGCAGAGACATAGGGTGACTAGGAAGTTGACCCAAGATGCTAGGACAGTGGATGGCGTGGATAGTGTATCACCACAAGGCTAGGGATAAGGACATGGGTTGGCTGGAAGGGAGTAGGCAAGGGCAGAAGGGACTCAGCAGTGATTCCAGAGGACAGAGCGCTCCTCTTTCTAAGTCTGTTGTCTCCCAGCGTGTCTCCTTCTGTGACTGGAGCTAAGAGATGGGTGACAAGAATGGCTGGTGACTAATAGGGTGCCTGATGCTATTTAGTCCTAAAATGGGAACCCTTGGGCTAAGTATGAAGGAACTTCATAAATTCATGGTCACCCCAGTGTCGACCTGCTGGGTTCTAGCGATCCTTCTGCCTCAGCCTTCCAAGTAACCGGAACTACAGGCACATGCTACTGCACCTGGCTAAATTTTTTTGATTTATTGTAGAGACGAGGCCTCGCCAAGTTGCCAGGGCTAGTCTCAAACCCACGGGCTCAGGCAATCCACTCGCCTCGGCCTCCCAAAGTGCTGGGATTACAGGCTGAGCTACCAAGTCCAGCCTTTTCCTCACTCTCGGTGGGTAGCGGCATGGGGTCTCTGGGTCATGGCCACTTTTGGGTTCCAGGTGCGGTTCCTGGAGCAGCAGAACCAGGTACTGGAGACCAAGTGGAACCTCCTGCAGCAGCTGGAGCTGGACAGCTGCGGGAAGAACCTGGAGCCCATCCTCGAGGGTCACATTACTAACCTGCGGAAGCAGCTGGAGGCGCTGTCCGGGGACAGGGTGAGGCTGGACTCAGAGCTGCGCAACGTGCGGGATGTGGTAGAGGACCACAAGAAGAGGTGAGTGGGAGGAGGGTCTGACTGCCAGTGAGACTTTGCCTCATAGCCAGTGTTCCTGCCTTCTTTTGTTTGTTTGTTTGTTTTTTGAGTTGGAGTCTCATTCTGTCACCCAGGCTGGAGTGCAGTGGCACACTCACAGCCACTGTAGCTTCGACCAGCTGGGATCAGGCGATCCTTCTGCCTCAGTCTCCCAAGTAGCTGGAGCGATAGGCGCATGCCACCATGCCCGGCTAATTTTTTGACTTATTGTAGAGACAAGGTCTAGCCAAGTTGCCCAGGCTGGTCTCGAACCCCTGAGCTCAGGCAATCCTCTTGCCTCCACCTCCCAAAGTGCTGAGAATACAGGTGTGAGCCACTGTGCCCAGCTTCCTGCCTTCTTAGAGCCTCTGCAGGTGCCACTGCTACTTCCTTTCCCATAGAGGAGAGAGGGGCGTCCAGATAGAACAAGACTTAGGAAGGGAGTGGGTCTCCCCAAAGGGTGCTCTGTGTTGCCTAGGAAATGCATGTTCAATTTCTAGCCCGGCAAGTGGAGGAATGGGGAAAAGAGAATTGTCTCAAAAGCAGATGGACAATCCAAAGGGCTTTGAAGTTCCTCCTGAGTGAGGTCTTCCATAGCAGCTCCCAGAATGTGAGATGCACCACCAATCTCAGAATGAATGTTAAAGCTAAGCAAAAAATGATTTTTGTTTTTTTAGTCAGGGTCTCACTCTGCTGTCCAGACTGGAATGCAGTGGCATGATCACAGTTCATTGCAGCCTCGACCTCTTGGGCTTAGGTGGTCTGTCTGCCTCTGTCTCCTGAGTAACTGAGACTACAGGTGCATGCCACCATGCCTGGTGAATTTTTTTGTAGAGATGAGGGCTTGCTATTGTCTAGGCTGGTCTTGAACTCCTGGGCTCAAGCAATCCTCCTGTCTTGACCTCGCAAAAAGCTGGAATTATAGACGTGAGGCACTGCCCCCGGCTTAAAATGAATTTTTAAAACTCATTTTATGTTGACGCATACCTGTACTTCTGAATCCTACCTTTATTTTTTTATTTTTGAGTCAGAGTTTCACTCTGTCTCCTAGGCTGGAGTGCAGTGGCTCATTCACATCCATCCCTGCATCGACCTGCTGGACTCAGGCAATACTTCCACCTCAGCCTTCCAAGTAGCTGGAACTACAGGCACATGCTACCACGCCCGGCTAATTTTTTGATATATTGTAGAGATGAGGTCTCACCAAGTTGCCCAGGCTAGTCTCGAATCCTTGGGCTCAGGCAATCCTCTTGCTTCGGCCTCCCGAAGTTCTGGGATTACAGGCTTGAGTCACCGTGCCCGGCCTGAATCCTACCTTTAAAGAGAATAATTGAGACTGTGTCTTCTTCCAAGTTGAGCCAACTATGGGAGAGTCATAAATCTAGGCCCTGCCTGACCCGATATTTTGGAAGTTTGCTTCCAGATGCTAGAATTTCTAGGGCTAGGTGACCTCTTCTACAATTCAAGGGGGTGGAAATGGTCAGAGTCAAGTCCTTTCTCTTGTTCAACATCCAAGTTGCCCATCCATCCCTATTCTGAAGTTCCCCAAAGCAGAATGCTGGACTCAGCCCTGCATGGAGATCCTGGGGAGGAAGGGGCATGCCCTGACCTCAGAAAGCACACAGGTTGTGGGGGCAGGCCTAAGGAACACATTCAGATAGCCAATGGGTGGAAATGAATTCAGCGTGAACTGGGATCAAGCAGAATCACAGTAGGAATGGGAGCCCTGGTGGAGATTTGAGCATGGTCCGGAAAGAACAGGGGGCTTCCAGGTGCAGTCTGGAAGTCTGGAGCAGAGGCACCTGGGAGCTGGGCTATCTCTGGCCCTTGCAGAGTAGAAAGGCTTGGTGTTCCAGAAACACCACTCGCTAGATGAGCAACTATAGGTGAGTCTCTGGGTCCTCTGTGGAGTGTAGCTTTAATACTTATAGAAATCAAATACTGGCTGGGCACTGTGGCTCACACCTGTAATCCCAATGCTTCGGGAGGCCGATTCAGGAAGATTGCTTGAGGCCAGGAGTTTGAGACCAGTCTGGGCAACATAGTGAGACCCCATCACTGCAAAAAGTAAAAGAAGAAGATGAAGAAGGAGAAGAAGAAGAAGAAGCAGCAGCAGCAACAGCAGCAGTAGCCAGGAGTGGTGGCGCATGCCTGTAGTCCCAACTACTTAGGAACCTGAGGCAGGAGAATCACTTGACCCAGGAGGCTGCAATGAGCCGTGATTGTGTCACTGCACTCCAGCCTGGGTGACAGATTAGGTCTCAAAAAAAAAAAAGTTAATTATTGATACTTACCTTGCCACCTAAAAACTATCCAGAGGATAATTCTGGAGAGTAGTATTAACAACTCTTAAAAGGATCAAAGTACTACATCAGTGTAAGGCATTGTTTCCCTGATGACAATCTTGGGTTTGGATCCTGACTTCATTTTTAACCACCATTATGACCTTGGCTAAGTATTTTAATGTCTTTTGTTCCATTTATAAAATTGGAATAATAATAGAGCCAACCTCCTAGGGCTGTTGTGGGGATTAAATAAAATAATATATGTGACGGGTTTAACAAAATGTTTAGCATGTAGTAAAGAGTAAAATAAAGATTAGTTGCATTTATTATGATGATTTCAAAATTAATTTTATCACTCACCTTTTCCAACTGTGGGTCTTCATGCTGCTTTTTTGTACCTCTCTTATGACATATTATAAAAGATCTTAATCATAAATCATCCATGAGTTTGAATTTTCAGTGCATTTGCCTTCCTGTTAGATTGAGTTTCTAGAAGACACACAGTGTCTATGTCTTAAGCATCATTGTATACTTTGAAGTTTTTCTCATAGATTCTCTAAAATAATGTTTCAAAACTCTTAATGGTTAAAAAGATACATTTATCATTTATGCAACCATAACCACTATCCACTTCCAGAGCCCTTTCCATCTTGTGAAACCAAAACTCCACACCCATTAAACAATAATCCTCCATTTTTCTCTCCTCCCAACCCCAACAGCCAGCATTCTACTTTCTGTCTCTGTGACTTATACTACTCTAAGTACCTTCTATAAGTGGAATTCCACTTGTATTTGTGTTTTTGTTACTGGCTTATTTCACTTAGCACAATGTCTTCAAGGTTCATCCATGTCGTATCATATTGCTGAATTCCTTTCTTTTTGAGTCTGAATAATACTTCATTGTATGTATAGACCGCATTCTGCTCATCTATTTAGCACTGATTATTCCTTACTGATGCTCTATTTCATCTGCTTTCACAAATGTCCTGTAATATACATTCTTTGATAATAGTAAGGGATGGAAGAGGCGAGTTCTTTAAATTAAATGATCAATACTCTTACCTCCCAGTCTACAACATATCCATATTAGAACATCCCAGTCCCATCCAAACCTCTGTTCCTTAGATTTGCTTCACCTGGAAGAGAAATATGTATAAGAAACAGGTGCAGGACACAACTCAAATGTGAGACTAGAGCTTTTGTTTGGTGCCTAGGAGGTTTGTACACCCTGAGCCATTGCACTATATTAAGATGCCGTGTGACAGAGAGGGTGTTTTTTGCTATAGCATGGGAGGAGCTAATTGTGACAGGGAGGTGGGATGGTAGAAATCTGCATGACGTGTTGACTACAGGGCTTCTCTCAGGCAGATACATTTTAGGGCAGACTGCATAGGAAATGAAAAGCTGGAATTCAATTCCTTTAAATCTGTCCTTGCCCACATCCTCTTTGGGAAGGTTGTGTGTGCCCCAGAGGTACACAAAGCCCACTCTGAAGCCCCCCAGCTGCAGCTCTTGGCAGAGAGGGGACCACTAACTGCTAGGTGGGCATTTGCAGAACTGAATTATGCCAATGTCTCACTCCACACAGGTATGAGGTGGAGATCAACAGACGCACAGCTGCTGAGAATGAGTTCGTGGTGCTCAAGAAGGTAAGGGGGTGAGGAAGGGCTGGAAGATGCCTAGAGGGTTTCCTGATCACCCAGCACAATGATGCTGTAGGTTTAGGAAAGGGACTCTGTGGGTCATTCAGTCCCTTGAACGGGGTGACTGGGATTCTACCTTCTCAGCTCCTCCCTCTAAGTCTCCAGTTGGAATTTTCCAGCTTAAAGTCCAGGCATATTTCCACATTCCTGGTGCAGCCATTGCACAGCACATTAGTTGGAAGTTGGTTTGCTCTCAGGGTTTGAGGCATAGGGTGAGGGGGATAGAGAGAGCTAGGAAGCCAAAGCTCCCTGTAGTAGGGGGCAGGGGAGAAGGGGAAGGGAAGGCAGTGGACTCCTCTCAGGGAAACCTGACCATCGTGTGCTCCCCAGGATGTGGATGCTGCCTACATGAACAAGGTTGAACTACAGGCCAAGGTGGACTCCTTGACAGACGGAATTAAGTTCTACAAGTGCCTCTATGAAGGGGTAAGGCTTTGTTGACCACTCTTGTGAAGTCTGCTCCTATTATGAGTGGCCTCTGGCCTTTGGTTGGGTGCTTATGTGGACCAAATGTTGGGAGGGAGAAGCCTTTCAGCACAGTGTAGCTACCATACACCAAGGCCCTACTAGGCTCTGAGCAATGAGCCAGGTTTTGAAGAGACCATGGAGGAGGAGAAATGATCCTTGTTCTTCAGGAGTTCACAGCCTGGAGGGAAAAAAATGCCATGTAGCTGAGTTTTGGAAGAACAGAGGAAGGAATGGCAAATTCTGCCTGGGCCCTCAGGGAAGGTTCCTGGAGAGAGGAGAGGAGGAGGAGGAGGAAGATTTTAGGGATGCTGAGAAGGGCAGAAAAAGTGAAGTGCAGAACCTGCACTATGCAAAACCACGAGGGGCATGGAAGGATGCAGAGGCCATGGAAGGATGCTAGGCACTGGTGACTCCCTAGAGGCTGCCTCATGCCATGGAGTTTAGACACAGCCCTGTAGGTGGAGGGTGGTTGTTGCTGTTTTGGGGGGATGAGATTGTACATGGGGTAGGAGCATGATGGGGAGGGGACTCTCATGGCACTCCATCACATGCCTGGCAGGTACTTGTGCTGACACAGAGTTCAAACACTGGGGAAGGGCAGAAAAGGGCAGCCAGGAATTTGCCCAAAGAGGATCAGGAGAAGTGGCCCCCTCATGAGGACCCTTAAATGACTCCTCTCTCCCAACCATCCTCCAGGAGATCACTCAGATCCAGTCCCACATCAGTGATACATCTGTCATCCTGTCCATGGACAACAACCGGGACCTGGACCTAGACAGCATCATTGCTGAGGTTCGTGCCCAGTATGAAGAGATCGCCCTGAAGAGTAAGGCTGAGGCTGAGAACCTATATCAGACCAAGGTGAGCTGGTGCCAGGGGTGCAGAGGCCCAGGGATGGCAGCTAGCATCCTCTCATCATGCATGCATGCATGCATGTGTGCACATGTGTGCTTGTACGTTTGCACTTATGTGCATACATGTGCATGCCTGTATATTGGGCAGGGCAGAGACATCCTTTGCCTTGGAGTTGGGCCTTGTGGAAATGCCTTTCCTGGTTCAGAGAGATCAACCACAGTCTTGGCACATGTTGGGGGCATTTGTGGGGATTCCTTCTGCCATGACCCTTGGCTGACTGCTGAGGCCACAGCAGTCACAGCCCTGATAGGACACTGACAGTTTCTGTGAGTAATTCTCGTATCTTGGCTTTTCTTCTTGTTTCCAAGTTTGGCAAAATGAGGACAGGAAATTCAACTTCCACCATGGCTCTTGCATTTGAGAGCCCAAGGATCCTACTGAACAAGGGTGGAGCCCTTCCTATCCAGAGAAAAAGGGTTGTTCCTCTCCCTCCAGTCCCCTCCCTCCCTTGCTAGTGCCTACACTGCCTGGATAATGTGAGTGGCACATGGTCACCCTCCTTGTGGAGAGTACTCTGCAGTAGGTGAATTCTCAAGGACCCCATGCTCCTCCTCTCTTACCTTGGCCCTCAGATCCAGGAGCTGCAGGTCACAGCAGGACAGCACGGGGATGACCTCAAGCTCACCAAGACTGAGATCTCTGAACTCAGCCGCTTGATCCAGAGGATCCGCTCAGAGATTGGGAACGTGAAGAAGCAGGTGGGTTCTGTGGGGTGAATCCATGAACAGGGTTTTCTGAGCAAAGATCAGGATGAAACAAAATATGAGGAAAGGGCAAGACATAGTCCCCTCCTTGGGGTGTTTGCAATTCATCAGGAGAGAATAATCCAGATGCAGGCTGGACGGATAGAGCAGCCTACACACTGCAGCACCCTCAGTCTGTGCTGTGGGGATCCAGAGGGGTGAGAGGTGGATGAGGACCCTAGGGAAGCTCTGCAGGAGATGAGATTATGCAGAGGTGGGAGGTAGGAAGGAGGGGGGAAGGTGTCCAGGTGCAGAGGCCAGCAGGAGCGACGGGTGGAGGCAGGGGTTTTCATGGCATGTGTGCAGGTGAGGCTGCCTACCTGGAGTAGGAGGCCTGTGATATGGCTGGGGTGGCCCAGGAGCAGGGGATACCACTGTATAGGAATAGGCGGATTACAGGCAGTCTCCAAAGTCAGGCTGTGAGGTTGAGACCTAATGAGAAGCTGAAAGAGAGTTGTCTGCAGGCTTTGCATAATGATTCCTTGCTGGAGGAGAGAGGATTCAGCAGTAGGTTTTAGGACAGAGTGGATGAAGAACAGCTGCCCACGGCCTAGACTTGGGGCTCAGGGCCCTACACTCTTGTCTCATCTTCCCCTGGGTTGTGCTTTGGGGAGGGTGCTGCACTGAGGTCCCCTGTGTTGGGAGGCCACACCTCTGCACCTACAACTGAGGTTCTGAAGCAAGCAGACTCAAGAGTTTTCCAGAGTTTGTGGAGGCAGTGGAGGAAGTTAAGGCTGTCAGCTCCCAGGCAAGCCAAGTTGCCCCATCTCCTCACTCTCCCCTATACCCGTACCCCTTGTGCACGTATCTACATGAGCATGCATGTACATACACATGCATGTGTACACCCACTACTCCTCTTTGCAGTGGGCTCAAGGCAGTGGGAAGAAGAAAGACCAGCATTCAATAAGAACTTAAGGTGCTTTTGTTTAGCCAAGATCTGCATAAATGCAAGAAAAGCACAGATGTTTGAAAAACACAGATGTGGTCGCTAACACCTGTAATCCCAGGACTTTCGGAAACAGAGGCAAGAGGATTGCCTGAGTCCATGGGTTTGAAACCAGCCTGGGTAACTTGGCAAGATCTCATCTCAATAATAAATCAAAAAATTAGCTGGGCATGGTGTTGTGCACCTGTAGTTCCAGCTACTTGGAAGGCAGAGGCAGGAGGATCACCTGAGCCCAGCAGTCGAGACTATGGTGGATGTGAACATGCCCCTGCACTCCAGCCTGGGCGACAGAGTGAGATCCTGACTCAAAAAGCAAAACAAAAACAAAAACAAACAAACAAAAAGCACAGATGTTTGAAGCTACCCTCAGCATTCAGTTATAGCATGTTTAGCTGATAAAATGACATGTGTTTGTGGTTGGCGAGGTTATGCCAGAAAGTGACCTTTTGTGATCACGATACCACCATCTGGTGGTCAGGGAAGATGTCTTCTGTGAGGAACAAGTGGGGTCCTTTGTGATGCCCGGTCCCCATCGACGCACTTTTAGAGACCCTCAGCTGAGATGCTTTCCTGCCCTTCTGGTATCTTTCACCAAAGAAGGAGCCCACAGTGTCGCATGCAAAGTATCCTGGCATTTGGTGTCCCCAGAGTTTGTGTGACAATTATTTCAAAGGATGCTAATATTTCCTGTCCTCTCGAATCATGCTCCATTCACAAGACCCAAGCTTCTGTTGCCCACCTGTGGGATCATCGTCAGGGCAAAAGAATAGACAACAGTTTAACTAAATTCAGGAGACAGAATTGATTGCCACTCCCTAAATGATTAGACCTCCACCATCCCAAGGAGGCAGGGAGCATGATTTTCCGTGGCCAGACAACTGGGTCCTAGGGGTCTCTTGGAGGCTGTGAGCCACTCACCCAAAATGCTGTGGGCATGGGCACTGCTCGGGGCCTGCCTGGCAGCAGAGAGCAGTGCCAGCTAGACAACATTCTAGAGTTCCATGTGGTGTCAGGATCAGCTGTTCCCCTTGGTGAGAAGCAAACTGGGCTCCGCAGGAGGGGACACCCCAGAAAGGAGAATCTGGTGCTCAGCTCCCACCAAAACCTTAGCTGAGTGACCAGAACACAGGCTCAGACTAAAGGTCCAGGAAGCCCCAGGAGCTCCCAAGTGTGTACAAGCACAAAGCTTATTTGCTGTTTCCTCCAGCAAGGCACAGGCCTCCGTATCAGCAAGAGTATTAATAGGAACTTTATTAGCCCTCATTTTCTTTCATGATTTATAGGCTCTCCTAAGACAACCTGAACCCTGCAGAGCTGAGTGACGCCTAGTTACCCAGGGACTTTTTTTCAGGGTTGGCATTAGATTGTTACAGCTGATATTCCAGGTCAGGAGGGAGAGGGCAGGGGCCACACACCCAGGTAGCCCAGTTTTTCAGTGCTCTTCCTCTTCTCTCTCCTATGAGTCAGGGGGAGCTGTGCCTGGAGTCAGGGGAAAGTACAGACTCGTCTCTAGGGATGGCCAAAGTTGGATAAAGCAGGAGCATCTCAAAGAATTTACTACCAGTCAGGACCCAACGAGGAGAGGCTGTCTGAGCAGGACCTCAGAACTGGGCTCTGACTCAAAGTGCTGAATCCATTCGCCCCTCAGTGTGCCAACCTGGAGACGGCTATCGCCGACGCCGAGCAGCAGGGGGACTGTGCCCTCAAGGATGCCCGGGCCAAGCTGGACGAGCTGGAGGGTGCCCTGTACCAGGCCAAGGAGGAGCTGGCGCGGATGCTGCGTGAGTACCAGGAGCTCATGAGCCTGAAGCTGGCCTTGGACGTGGAGATCGCCACCTACCGGAAGCTGCTGGAGGGCGAGGAGTGCAGGTGAGGGGCCGGACACCTTTTGTCTGGGGGCAGTTTTCTCTCTCTGCTTTGGTAGGAAGCCCGAAGACAGTTTGGTCCTCCTTAGGTCCTGTTGAAGAAAAACCACATGGCAAATGGGCTTGCCACGTGGTTAGGAAGGCTGAAGTTTTATAGCAAGAAGGATCCAGTTGTAAAAAATCCCAGAGAGGTTCTGGGAGGGGAATTATTGTCAGCAATGCTTGAGAAAACAGGGCATCCCTGACCCTTTGTGGTGCATTCTTACAGGTGGGTGGGGATGGGCAAGATGGCCTCCGAGACTCATCCAAGTTCAAGGTCACTCTGGCAAAGCCTGGGGTTCAGGGAGGACTTGAGCTCTTTCTTCTTAATTGTCTAAGACCAACAACATAACTAGAAGGATGTGGAGGCATGATGGCCTCACATAACAGACACTCCCGGTGTCCCAGTGATGGAGAGCTGATTGCTGGTGGCAGATTTTCCATCTCCATTCTCCATTTCCTGAGAGGTCCTGCAGGGATATATGGGAGGAAAGGCGGCTGGGAAAGGGTTGCAGGCACGTTTTGAGAGGAGAGGCTTATTCCCAGACGTGATTCCTTGGATAAATGGAATGGTTGTTTATGGTGAGTTTCCCTATTTTTCTTCTCCCTCCTCAGGATGTCTGGTGAATATCCAAATTCCGTGAGCATTTGTAAGTACCTGCAGGTTTCAGTGCTGCCTTCCCACAAGTCTATGTCCCACTAATTCCATGACACGAGAAATCAGAATCCCAGAGAGGGCTCAGGGGAGGTTTAGGGCAGAAAGCAGGAGCAGTGGGTGGAGATAATATTATCCCGAAATGCAAAACTGCAACCCAAAGAAAGACTGAGCGATACTCATCAGTGAATAATCCAACGACTCATGTTTCATGGCAACATTGCTTTTCTGTTGAGTCTTGATCAAAACAAAGGCACTGAATTGAAGGCTTGAGGGGGCCAGAGGGGTTGAATGATGGAAAAACCTCGCAGAGATCACCTCCTCCGGGTTTGAGCTGGGGAGGGTGAGGGGAAATGCTGTGCGGCTGAGGCAGTCTCCTTCCTCATCAGCAGAGCCCAAAGTTTCTGCCAAGGGCCTTTCTTCCTTTGGTCCCACCCAGGGGGAATTTCATCCACAGAGCCCTGACTAAGAGTGTCAAGGTTGATATACATAGACTGACACAGACGCATAGGAAAAGGTCAAACATATGGGTTTACGTGCATGAAAAATGAAGCCACACATGATCAGCCCTGATAAAAATCTCTTAGTAAGCTAAAAACACACAACAAAGAGAATCTGTCTCAACACGAAGCCACGCAGGGGAGAGACCCGAGGGAGGAGACTGAGCTACGCCAGGAGGGGCTCTCTCTCTGGGTACAGGACTGACTGGGCGGGGGTTCTCTCTCTCCCCTTCCAGCCGTCATCAGCAGCACCAATGCTGGGGCAGCGGGGGCTGGCTTCAGTGTGGGCTTTGGCACCTCGAGCGCGTACAGCTACAAACCTGCGGCAGCCGACGTCAAGACCAAAGGCAGCAGTGGCAGCGAGTTCAAGGACCCCCTTGCCAAGACCTCGGGCAGCAGCAGTGCCACCAAAAAGGCCTTCAGATGATGGACAGGCAGTCGGCTTTGTGCTTGCATCCCAGCCACCTCCTCCTGCTCCTCCCCTGGGGCTCCTTTCTGAGTCAAGAAGCACTTTGCCCGTCCCCATCCCATCCCAGTCCCGTTTCCCATCCCTGTTATCCTCAAGAGGCGATGCTCTGATGCTCAGAGTCGTCACGGGCTCTCTTGGTGACCTCCTTGGCCACCTTTCACTGGGCACTGCCCCAAATGCAGAGCCAACACCCATACCCAGGACGTTATGCCAGCTGCAAGCCCCTCTCTCCTCATGCCTTCTTGGGCCTTCGCTGCTGGGGGACTCTGTCCTCTGACTGGGATCGTGTCCGGTTCTCTGCTTCTCCTGCAATAAATGATTGGTGCCATGGGTTCTCAGTGTGGAATCGCTTGCCCAGGATGTCACCACCTGCCTTGCCATAACTTTTCCTGGCCTGACTCTTGCTTCCCGCTGGGTCCTTGGCCTCACAGGGATCTTTGCTGTCTGGTTCAGGCCAGAGAGCTGTAGGCTGCCAGCCGATTCTTACAAACAGATGAAATTTACGACAGCGACTGCTGTCGGGAGGCCCAGGGCTTCACGTGCCCCATACGCCTATTCCGTATAATGGTCCTGGGACACACGCCGGGACTGTCAGTGGTTAGCGTTTTCCTGGCTTCCCGCTCTGGTTCCCAGAGCACCCACAGCCGTCCACACTCACTGCCTGGTATTGGGAAGAACAGCCGAAGAAGCTGTCCCCTTTTTTCCCTCAGCACCTCACTCTCCATCACCCACGCCCCCACCTGACACCCCCACAAAGGCCCTGATTTCCCATTCTTCCAGCCAGTTTCTCTTTCAGGGGAACGCGTCTCTATCTAATGTGTGTATAAGCTAGTGGCTCACTGAACACATATATAGTAAACCAGGCATTGTTCAGGCACGAGGACACCGGAACACACAAAATAGACCCAGCTCTGCCTTCACAGGCCTTCCGGTCTAGATGGGAGAGTGAAATTACACACCTCACAAAGCACCACATGACTTGATGTCTAGTTGTGTTAACTGCTACAAAGAAACATTCAGTGGTGCAAGAAGCTGAGAGATTCAGGGGGCTCTTTTGGGTACATGCGGGTGTGTGTGTGTGTATGCAACAATGTTTCCCAGAGTTAGTTGACAGTCCATTTGAGCAAAATCCCTAAGGTGAGACCATCTTGCCAGCTTCAGTTTTGCTTGGGGGTGGCTGCAGAGCACCCATGACCCACTCACTGTCCTTCCCACCATCGCCCACTCTGCAATCCAGTCTCTCTCCCCAATGCGACCCAGACTTGTCACACCCAGAGGCCTTTGCAAGTGTGACTTTCTCTGGCTCAAGTGTCCATTGCCCACAAAAAATTCGCTCACCCTGGGTGGGCAGAAAACTCACTCACCCTGGGTGGCCTGAGAGGCTGCCTCCCATGTTCCTGCAGTTTCTGGTCCCTCCCGTGCACTAAATGAGAAGGATCATTAGAGCTTTCGGCCTGACACTTCCCTCCCCAGCCGCCCATTCTATAGGCAAGCAAACCGAGGCACAGATGGCTGATGGCTCCATGCTCACGGCACTGGCAGGCAGCAGGGTCTGGACGGGTGACCCCCACACTCACAGTCCTGTTCTGGAGCCCGTGTCACAGTTGGTGCTTCGTTTTCCTGGGGTCAGGTCAGCTGCTCGCATGTCTGTCCCCCTCACTCCGCCCCTCACAGCCCCTTGTTCCAGGGTCCTCGAGTCTGGCTCTCAGTCAGCCCTCGATACACACATGCCCCAGGAACACATGGCTTAGACTAGACCGCCTTCACCCGGGGGGAAAAAGAGCTCCTTGTGTGAGATCCACCCTTGTGAAACAGGGTTAGCACAGGCTGGCCTTTGTGGAGTGCTTTCTGCGGGCCAGGAGCTGATCTCAACGCTAACTCTTCTAAGCACTTCATGTCTGGAAACCCCATTAATTCTCCTGACAACCTGATCGGTAGTATTGTGGTAAGGTGCTCTTATAATGTTCATTTCACTTGTGAGGATACTGCGACTCAGAGAGGTTAAATAACTCACCAGACACCACTTGGCTAGTAAATGGCAGACTGGGGTGCTGAACTCCAGTCTGGACACCACTTGGCTAGTAAATGGCAGACTGGGCTGCTGCTGGAGTCCACACTGGTCACCTGTCAAAGCACTCACCCTAGGGGAGACCTGAGCAGCACGTGAAAAGAGATCACGGAAGTAAAAGCGGGCGGGCAATGCAGTCTGCGGCACAGACGTTCACTGTTGTTGCTGTGACCGCCATTAGTGTGTGTTTCTGTGTTGGCTGGCTGCACCCTGGTCGGTGTCTGAGAAGTGGGATCAGCAGCAGGACTTCGCCCAGGACCTGGCAGAGAGGGTCTATGGGAGGGGCGGAGGGCGCTGGGTCTATCGCCGAAGCACATTCCCATCCAGTCACCGCGGCTGGTTTCCGAACCCGGAAAAACCCGCGGCGCCTCTAGTTCGTGCGCACACTGCCCTCTGCCAGCGACCCGAG